GTAGGAGGGAAATTAGGCTGTGAGAGCAGTAAGGGGAAGTGAAAAGATGATAAAATCAAGAATTACACAATCCCAGGAAGTCCAAAACTATTAGAACGTGGTTCTAGGAAGAAGTGAGCTGAAAAGATTGCAGGTGGTGGCTAGAGAGTGGGATGCTTAACACTCACACTACTGAGAGGTGCCTTAATGGTATTGACTATGAGTGTGAGCTGGAGAATGTGTGCTAAAGTTGGGAGAACAAAAGTCATAAAATACAGTGTCAAGGAGTTAAGAATCCCATTTTCTAAAGAATTGTCTGGATGTTGAAATGACCCAGAATTATAACATGATTTAATGAGGTTTGAAATCCTCAAAGATGTTCTATAAGCTTTCCTGCTGTGAAGGTTTATCATTGACAAGAAAACATAGGAATGCCAGCTGGAGTATGGTTTCCTGACCTCCTATTTTCCAGATTCCTTTTCTGAGGTCTTCTGTTCCAGAAGACTAACCGGGCTTTCCTCCTAAGGAGGAAGCCTTCTAGGCAGTGAGCAGGCCAGGCACACTGTGATCAAATCCCAGGTGGAGAGAACTCTGGGAGACCCCTGCTGGCACCCCACTCCCCTCCACGGCAATGGTCTTCATGCTGTCTTGGGACATGTCAGGGATGCAGAGAAGTACTCCTGGCCTTCTGCAAAGGTGAGATTCGAATTTATTTTCCAAAACGTATAGTAAAAGCTATAAAACTAAGTAAAATTAACCCTGGCACAAACATGTGGTGTGAACCAAATTTTACCCATTTGGCGATCAAAACAATTGCTTGGGCTGCTAGGTGAAGATGTCTTTGTGTCAAACTGGAAACAAAATTATTCCAGCAGACTTCTGTGTTAATTTGAACTTCTCAGAAATGTGTTATCATCTAGAAAGTCCATTGCTGCTCTGGTCATTTTAGAAATTCAGCCTGATGGGTCCACTCCCAACCCTTGTTTACATTGGTTCAGTGCTATGAACCTCTTATGGTGAGTTCGCTGAAATGCTAGGCAATGCCAATCCAGATCTCAGTGCTTGCCTTTGCCTGTCCTTGTCGTGATCCTAATAATCAGCTGCAACAATAACTTCTAGAGACATGTTCATATCATATCATTTTAAGATTGAATTCTTCTTTCTTGTAGAATAGCCTGAGAACACTAGTTTTTGAAATGACACTGTGTTGAGTAAAGGATTAGCAAAACCCTTTCTCTTATACTATGAATTTTAGCCTTACGTTAACTTTCCTGTTCTGTTTCCCTGGAAACCTGGTCAGCTGTGTTACTGAGCAATATTGTACGTGATAAAAATGACCTGTGATTTTGAACTGCCTCTGACCTGGGAAGGCAGAATGAAATAAAAACAGCAGTTTGGGAGGCACAGCTTTGGCTGTCCCAAGGTGTGATGATTCTTGCAAACTCACATGTCCCTTGTGGAGACCCAGACACTTTCCCAAGGAGCTGTTTTTATAAGATATACTGGTTCCTAAATGGCAAGATTTTCTTCTTTTTTAAGGCTGACTAGTATTCCTGTGTGTGTGTGTTTGTGTGCTTGTATTAAAGTTTCTTTATCCATTTATCAGTCAACAGATACAATTAGGTTGTTTACACATCTTGGCTATTGTGAGTAATGCTGCAATGAACATGGGAATACAGATATCTCTCTTGAGATTTTATTCCTATTGGATATTTATCCCCAAATGCAATTGCTGTATGATAGTTATAGTTAAAATTCCTTCAGGAACCTCTGTATAGGCTGTACTGATTTACATTCCCACGAATAGCATACAAGAGTTCCCTCTTCTCCACATCCTCTCCAACATTTGTTATCTTTTTACTTTTTGATAATAGCAATTCTCACAAGTGTGGAGTGATATCCCATTGATTTGCATTTCCCTGATGATAAGTGATGTTGAGTATCTTTTCATACCACTGAACTATACATTTAAAAATGTTTAAGATAGTAACTTTTGCTATGTGTATCTTATCGAAATTTTTAAAAATACGTAATATACAAAAAAAGAGGCTGCCATCAAGAAAATGGATCTCAAGACACAAGAAATAAATCACGATGACTTCCTTAAAGAAAAAAAAAGGTGTATTAGTTCCTGTAAGTGGTGTGCAGCTTCTATGCCAGGGTCGTCCTACTAAGTCAGTACTGCATGTGTGTAGATCTAGCTCTGTCACAACCTTAACTATCACTTAGGGGCAGAGAATAGCTCTTGGACTGCTGTGTGAACTGCCATCAGGGCTCCTTCCACTGCAGAAAAGTGCTTGTTGCTGCCCAGATGTCAGGCTGTGTTTCCTTTCTTCTGTCCTTCTGAGTGAGGCTGGGGCCCAGGCCAAGTGTGGCCTATGGTATTTGTTTAAGTAGAAAAGTAAAGTTGAACTAAGGAGATCCCAAGAATGCATCTTGCACCTAGCTATATTTTAAAAATATTTACCCATGTCACTCACTATTCTGATATTGCACAATCAAAGCCAGATATAAAAGAAAAAAACATAAATTGAATTCAGAAAACTGACACCAGACTACAGTCGTCATTAATAACTTTGAATTTCAACATTTTTAAGTTTATCAGAATATGCTCTCATTGTATAAAGTTATACAATTTGAACTTTTCAAAATGCAAAACTATATATTTTCTGATGAAATTGCTCTTTAACCTCTTGTATATATGTGGTGTTCCACGCAGCATCTAAAACTAAAATTATTTTTAGTTTTACTAAGCATTGTTCAAGTAATTAAATAAGGAGGCCGTTAGGCTGAGGCGGCTGTCATGCCTTGGCAGCCTATGTAGTAAACCGAAACCGAGGCCAGCCACTGCCCTGGAATCCCAGAAAACGAAACCTAAGAACAGTGACAAACAGCCAACTAGGCTTTCCCAAAGAAGGCAACAACTTACCAATAGCTAATCAAGTAATTTATTTGCTTTGCTTCCACGTCTTCTCTATGAAATCCTTTCCCTTCGCTTCTGTCAGCGGAGTACTCCTAACTACTTTCAGTATGGTGCTCCCAATTCAAATCAATGTTTGCTCAGATAAACTCCGTAAATTTTAATGTGCCTCAGCTTCTCTTTTAACAATTCAAACACTCATTACTCTATTTCAGTCACATATAAGATGCTCCAGTCTCTGCTTACATAATGACAATGTCAGGGTGCTCACCCCACAGAAGGCAGGATACTCTAATGCCCACATCATCAGTCTCTGAGTGACAGCTCTAGGGTGTACTGAAAATTGTGGCCCAGCTCTTTAGTTATTGGAATATTTGATGATTTCAGTCTAAAATATTTCTTCTAATGTACTGGTTCAGAAAGCCCAGAAACAGACTCATACGTATATAGTCACCTAATTTATAGAAAGGCACTACTGTAATTCACTGGGTATGGGGGAAGAATTGTCTTTCCAATGATAATGCTGTATCCAGTGGATAACTAAGAGGGATAGATAGGAGGTTTAGCAATAAAGCAACTGGGTGGGGAAAAAAAAAAAAAAAAAACCATGAGAATATCTTTATGATTTTGGACTAGGCAAAGATTTCTTAAACAGGCCCAGAAAAGTACTAGATATGAAGGAAAATATTGATAGATTGGACTTTGTTAAAATTAAGAACTGTTCATCAAAAGTCTATACTGAGAACAAGTCACAAATTTGAAATATATTTGTGATACACAGAAACAAAAGGGACTTATATTCGGAATATAAAAATAACTCTTACAAATTAATAAGAAAGATACTGGATACTTAAACAAAATATGAAAGACATGAAGAGGTACTTCACAAAAGAAGATATGCAAATACCCAATAAGCATATGAAAAAGCCTTCAACATTATTACATATCAGGGAAACAGAGTAAAGCCATGGTGAATATCATTTTAAACACATGAGAATGGCCCCAAATTAAAAAGACTAAAAAATATCAACTTTTTATAAGTAGGCAGAGCAACCAGAACTGACACACGTTGCTGGTGGGAGTGTAAATTTATATAATCACTTTGGAAAGGTAAACATATACCTACTCCATGACCCACCAATTCTACTTCTGGATAGATAACCGAGAGAGGTTATTGCACATGTCTACCAAAAGACAACTACAGAAATTTTTATGAGTTTTTCTTCTTAATGGTTAAAAATTGGAAGCAGTCCAATGGTCTATTAACAATAGAATAGATAAACTGAAATATATTTATATAGTGGAAACCTACATGGCAATGAAAATGAATACTCTATTGCTGTAGTAACACCATGAATAAATCTCATAGACTTAATTTTGAATGAAAAAGGTAAGACATAAAACGTATAAATGTATAAATGATTCCATCTGTATGGAGTTCATAAATAGACAAATTTAATGTATTGTAATAGAGGTCAGAAGAGTATTTATCTTGAGAATAAACCTCAACTAGGAGAGGTTATGAAGGGGTTTCTAGGATGTTAGAAATATCCTGTACCTTAATCAAGAAGGTGGTTACATGGGTGCACATATATGTGAAAATTCATTAATCAATTCACTTGAGATTTATGTTCTTTACGTAGCTTAGTGTCTCATTAAAAAAAAATAAAATATAGTTCAGAGAGAAAGCAACAAAATAGATCCTCTTAATAATTGAGACTGGCCAAAAGCTATGGAATTAGGTTGAGGGAGGGATATCATTAGTAGAATCCTCTACCCAAAGAAAAAGGAAGGCTCAACAGAACACAGGTGTTCAGAGTAAATGGAACAATAAATTCATTTTATTTTTATACCTTAACAAGTTAACATTACTCAAACAAAAGTGCATGGTCTAATTAAAAATATATAAATGATACTAATATTACATTGATTTTATGATGATGTAGATAATTAATGTAAGATGCATAATATAGGTTCTGATTCATAGTAAACATTAAAAATATATTATCAGTACTACTACTATTGCTGCTATTACTTATTACTACTGTTATGATTTTATTGTTGTTGACAGTGATTATTATTAATAATTGGGTTTGAACCAGAAACTCTCATGGTACCATTTCGCACCTCTATATTTCATCATTCAATCCATTTTTTTGTTTGTTTGTTTTCTATGATTCCCCACAAAGGGAAAAATCAATACTGGGTATAGGAAAATTGATGCAGATTTATCTTTCAAAGCATACTGTGATCCTAGATGAGGTAAAGGGACAGGAGGATCTGAGGGATGGGCTCCCTCAGACAGGGAACTCACAAACTGCCAAAAAGGAGGATGAGCAGGTCACGTCATTCCACTTGCCATCTGTCAGGATCGTCACACAGTGTTCCTCAGAGCCAGAATTGTTGGGCTCGTGATCATTCCAATTTAGGTAGGTTATACTCCTTCCTGTCAGATCCACAAACTGACCTTCATTTTTCACGTCTGTGAAGCCCAGGAAGGCCACTTTTCTGGCTACATTCTGGATGGCCTGGTTCTCTTCAGCATTCATGGGGGTGGCCACAGAGGCCTCAAACTGGGTGCACAGATCCTTCACTCTGTCAAAGGTCATACTTTCACCATTGGTCAAGAAGAGCTTCTTCCCAACTTGTTTTCCCAGAGAGAAGGTCAGCCCTAAATGGAAAAATGTGGGTGACACTGGCTTATCTTTAAGCCCAGCCCAAGGTATTTTTCTGGATGAAGGCTTCTACACTAGAATTTCCACATGAAATATAGTATGTCCAGTTAAATTTGAATTCATGTAAGTAATCAATTTTTTATTATAACTATTGCCTATGCAATTTGGGGGACATACTTATACTAAAAATATTGTTCTTTACCTGAAATTCAAATTTAACTGAGTGCCCTCTTTTTTGTTGAACAACAATAAAATTGTTGTTTTAATCTGTTAAATCTAGCAAACCTAATCTGAAAGGACAAACTAGAACAAAGGTCTTTGACCTTTTGAGTCACAGTTCTAGAAGACAAATAATTTGTAATTCTAAATTTTACCCCAATAATAACTTGAGTAAAGAACACAAGATCAGGGTCTCTAGAGTCAGATTGACTTCAGTTTATAAACTACCTCTGCCACTTAATAGCTCTGTGTTTTTGAGCAAATTATGTAATTTTTCTTTGCCTCCATTTCTAACAAAAGGTGGTAAGGAGTTCGTGAGATCAGAATATGAGAAACACCTATTCAGGTACTAGAAAATGATACGTATTTAATAAATATCTGTTGCCTTTCACTTTCCCAAACTCCAAGCTGCCTGAAAAGTAAGAGAGAAGGCTTACACTTTTTGATTTGGCCCAATTCTGATCGCAGAGCTTCTCTTTCTGAAACAGCCAGGCTAGTATCACAATCTAAAAAATTAAAACAAAGTGAAAGAGCATTGTTGAGAAGGGGTTTCAGAACTACAAGTGGATAGAGTACTCTTATAAAATTAAAAAAAAATTAACCTTGATATTTGCTCTTTGAAGAAATTTTTTTAAATGTATCAAGAAGAAAAAAAAGAAAAGTATCTCTATTTCCATCCAGCCCAAAACATCACTCTTCACCTGTTGAATGTATCTATAGACACTTATTTTATTTTATTTTTGTTTTTCCCAGAGTTTGTTCTGTTAATCAATAAACCAAGATTTTTGTGAGTTGCCCATTATTTAAGTAGTAGGGGGAATGAGGGAGGGAGAAGGCAAGCCATTTGTAATAGATGGCAAAAATGGCCTCAATATGGTGTAGCTTCTCTCATTAAGAAATAGAGTCTCT